ACTCGCAGCGCTTTACCGTTTCACATGGCACAACCACGCATTGTCTTCAAGGCACATCGGAGACTCTCCAGTGCCTTGTTCTCACATCTCCAGGCAGCAAAAACCTGGAGTCTCGGTGAAACAACCTGCACATGCACCGACCTCGCCCAACAACACCCATCCCTCCCGAAGCATGACGGACACCTTCTTTTCTCCGGTGCAGACACCCATGAGCTGTTCGACTCCGACACTGCCCACATGCTATCCGGATCGATGCGCAACTCCTTCTTTCCTCCACGAGGGGTCTTGATGAGTCGCCTGACCCAGGCAATTCAACACTGGGCCAGGACCAACAACCTACCCGCGCTCGACCCATCAACCCTCACTACTATTGTCGAATTCCATTTCGACCTCCACCTTTCACACACATCACAGTACTTTCTTCACGCCCACGTCCAACGGGCTCTGCATACCCTGGAACCCCTTGTCCGCCATTGCGAAGACCATGCGGACTCCCGACTCATGATCTATTGTCCCGTTCTCTACGGCAAGATGTTGGAAGCCACTTTTGCGGACCCTGCCATCTTCGCCCCTCTGCCGGTCCCTGCCATTGAGATCCACCAACGACTACGAGAAACCAATGTCACCAGATTCCGCGGCCGCTATCCTTGGGCCGTGACCGGATTCGGAAGGCCAGCCAACGCCTACATCCTCCCGAAGAGGAAGAAGAACTGGACCACTGCCCGACCCATCATCAGTTTCATTGGCGCCTTCTTCCGACCCATGCTCGACGCTCTCGCCAAGCTCCTCCACAGCATGGTGGCCACGGCTTGCCCTGACGCGTTTTCAGGTGGCGACCTCTTTGAACTCATGCGGTCCTTGCACGAGTTTCTAAGCCTCGGCCACACCCATTTGGATTACCGAAACCAGGACCTTTCCGGTTTTTTCACCTCCATCGACAAAGACCGCTTCTTTGCAGCCTGGCGACTACTGCTAACCTGGTACCGACAACGACAACCACACTCCTCTACCACACACCTCACAGTGGACACAATTGACACCTCTGCCATCACCCGCGTCTACAACGGACGCCGTCGCCGACACAAACCCACACAACGCACCCTGTGGCTCGACGACATCCCCGAGATTATTCAGGCCACCCTTGACATGCAGATCTTCTCTGTCGGCCTTCGTTCATTCAGGCAAACGCGTGGGGCACCGATGGGATCCCCCGCGTCCCCAGCTCTCTGTTTGATGGTGATCGCGGTCGCCGAACAATGTTGGACCAACACTCACACCACATCGGGACTTCGCTCCGTTGAAGATACTCTCCTGCTCCGCTACGTGGACAACAGACTTGTGATCGCAACCCCCAGGTGGCTCTCGACTCCGGCAGCCAACATACTGTGCGACGAACACTTCTATGGAGGAGACATCTTCCTGGAAACAGAAGCCGCCCTGGACTTCTTGGGGTTCCGACTGAACCTCACAAGCAGCACCATCTCCTTCATTCCCTCGCATGAGAAGCACAACATGCTCTCCGTCAAGTCAGCCGCACCAATGATACATAAGGAATCTGGATATTATTCCTGATCAGCCGAGTTTCCTTTCCTGAATTTCAGCGAGATCAGGATCTTGCAATGTTGAAGAGGTTGTACCTCCAACACGGTTTCACCTTACAAAGAGAAGAAAAACCGTCCTTTGCGAAACCACACTGGTTTTCTTCTCTGCCTTTGCACCCTGACAGATTTGACCTGATTTTCGTGCCGCAGCTGTTTGACTGTTTGACCAAAACCCGTTGCGAGCATGGATACCAACACAGCACGCCAGCTGCTCCACGACTTCGAACTCATCCTTGGCATTGCCCAACAAGGCATCGCCACCATCCGCGAGTTCACTGAGAGTCCGACTGCCGAACTTGATTTGGCACCGGAGGCCACGCTCAACCCCGCCATTGAGGACCTCTTTGAGCCACCTCCTGATGCTCCAGATGAACACCTTCCCACTGATCATGACGAACAATTCCCTGATCATTGGGCTCCGCCCACCCCTCCTTCGTCTTCTCCCGGCGAAAAAGGAGCTCGCCGCGCACGTGATTTGGTCTCCTCACGATCTACGGCATCCAAAACCTGCTCGTGGACCAAGCGAAGCTACCACATCGACCAGGACTGATGCCTCTACTGAGGCCGAACCTGAAGCCTCGCAGCCTTGGACTGAGGGAGAGATTGAACTCCTCCGTTCCCTTAAGACCAATTCCAAAGCCAAGTATGTGTGGTCAGTCATCGCCACAAGACTTTCTCGCACAATTGATGCTTGCAAGACTCAATGGGCCTTGCACAAGTGATGTCGCCCCAGTTGGGGCTCCGTGTGTGTGAAGCGTCCTGGAGCACGGACGGAAATTCCACATTGCAGGGGGACTGGAGCCGATTTGCCTATCCAGTCCAATGAAGCTACGGCATTTCGGTGGATACCGGATCTGATCAATCCGGCGTACCTGCCTATTTCCTGACCCTCTTTCCGGATTCTTTTTGCGGTTTCTGTTTGTCGCTGTTGCTTCCTGTTCGGTGTCGATGTTGTGACCTGTTGATTTGCATTTGCATTCAAGCATTTTTACTGACTGCGTTTTGCATCTCGGCTAGTGAAGCCTCTCGAGATAAGTGTGTGTGTGTGTGTGTGTCTGTGTGTCTGTGTGTCTGTGTGTCTGTGTGTCTGTGTGTGTCTGTGTGTGTGTGTGTGTGTCTTGTGTGTGCGTGTGTGTGTGTGTGTGTGTGTGGGTGTGTGTGTGTGTGTGTGTGTGTGTGTGTGTGTGTGTGTGTGTGTGTGTGTGTGTGTGTGTGTGTGTGTGTGTGTGTGTGTGTGTGTGTGTGTGTGTGTGTGTGTGTGTGTGTGTGTGTGTGTGTGTGTGTGTGTGTGTGTGTGTGTGTGTGTGTGTGTGTGTGTGTGTGTGTGTGTGTGTGTGTGTGTGTGTGTGTGTGTGTTTGTGTGTGTGTTTGTGTGTGTGTGTTTGTGTGTGTGTGTTTGTGTGTGTGTGTGTTTGTGTGTGTGTTTGTGTGTGTGTTTTTGTGTGTGTTTGTGTGTGTGTGTTTGTGTGTGTGTGTGTGTTTTTGTGTGTGTTTTTGTTTGTGTTTTTGTGTGTGTTTTTGTGTGTGTGTGTGTTTTGTGTGTGTGTTTTTGCTTGTGTTTTTGTGTGTGTTTTTGTGTGTGTGTTTTTGTGTGTGTGTTTTTGTGTGTGTTTTTGTGTGTGTTTTTGTGTGTGTTTTTGTGTGTGTGTGTGTCTGTGTGGACTGTATTTGCGGTGAAGTTCACATCTGCATGCGCACGTGCATGTGTTCATCGACATCACCAGGAATGTTGACACAAGGAGGTTCAAATTCCTGAGACATTGAGTACCAGTTTTTCTGACCGGACGCCAAGGACTGTGCCCACCATCTTCAGCAAGCATGCGTGTGGTGGCTTTTTCTTTGCCCTTTGGTGCAAGCTACACCTCAAGTTCCACTGATGTGGCCCTAGATGGGGCATTTTGAGAATGCGCCCCGCACGCTGCGTAGGCGCTGCGTAGGCGCTGCGTAGGCGCTGCGTAGGCGCTGCGTAGGCGCTGCGTAGGCGCTGCGTAGGCGCTGCATAGGCGCTGCGTAGGCGCTGCGTAGGCGCTGCGTAGGCGCTGCGTAGGCGCTGCGTAGGCGCTGCGTAGGCGCTGCGTAGGCGCTGCGTAGGCGCTGCGTAGGCGCTGCGTAGGCGCTGCGTAGGCGCTGCGTAGGCGCTGCGTAGGCGCTGCGTAGGCCATTAGCCTAGCCTTGCCTACAGCCCCTGTTCTGAAGCACGTACTTACCTTAGGTCATTGTCTCCAGGCACCGGCCTGGAGGAGTGGATGTCTCGCGCCGCACGTTCGGCTGGCACATGATTTGGTTTTCTACAAACTCTCGTTCGTGTCAGAAAACTGACTTGGCATTGCTAAGCTTGAGGCTTCCGCGTTAGGCAACGAGTATGCACAGCAGCCCTGTTGCAATCTCGGATCAGCCAGCAAGTGCGGGCGATCAAGAAGCCTCTGTGGCACTCCCGAGTACGAACCGAATTTCACTCGAAAAGCAAGACATTGGCATTGGAAGCACGCAGGAATAACTTACAGATTCAGTTTCTCAGCACCTTTCCAACCCCATTCCATCCCAACATCAATCCATATCAATCGAACACAACTCATACGCCGACGCCGTTCCAAAACAATTCCATACTGAATTCTAACCTGGCATCCCAACTTGGCAATTGCAGTCAAGTCGATATTGGCAGCAAGTGGAGGAACCATTGCATGTTGTCTGAGATAGGGAGAGTGGTTGTTACGGTAGCTGAGCCGCCTGAGATGGCTGGTGTGCTTCGCTTGAAGCTGAAGGATGGCGATGATACCGAAGGATCGAGCTGGCTGGCAATGCCTTCAAGCGCTTCAAGGTCACGGAGGTGACTGACGTGTTGGCAGCGCTTCTTGCTGGAATGTTCTCAGCCTCACGTGTGCGTTGTCTTTGTTTGCGAGTGCTTCGTGAACGTGCCGAGGTGGATGACCTCAAGGCCGCATGCATAGAGCTAATTTCGACTCAACTGGGTTGATGTGGACAAGCGAGTGACTCTGGCAGCCCAGCTACCTGTGCATCACTGCAGGCCATCAAGAAAGAGAAGCCAAATCGAGTGACGTGTGACTCGGATGAAATCAACATCTACAGCCGGAATGGCAGATCTCCTTACCTCCCCAATTTGACCTGCGACTGCGCTGTGTTGGCGTGGCTTGGTCAGCTTCGGCTTCTCAGGATGGTGGCTGGCAGAGTGAAGCAAAGATGTCGGCCAGTCTTCATGAGATGGAAGAGCTGATTGCTCAGCGATGCCATTTGCACTTGTCCATGATGTTTTCTCATCGATCTGATCAGGGAAGATTGCTACGGCTTTCTCCTACAATCTCGCAAGGGCTCTCAGTTGAAGCTGCCTACAGAAAGGGAGATCGGCTGAGTTCGGATAGTGCTTCCTTGCGATGACTCCCCATGATTTTCAAGGCGCGCAGAAGCGACGTGGAAAGTTGGTGGGCTCGCAGATTTCTGGCAGAGCATGTGACCATGGAGGGCACAAGCGCTTTCTGGTACAGAGAAAACTACAAAGAACTCACTGCGCTGGAGCTTGCACATTTGCAGCAAGTTGGGCATCGGCCGAGTGCAAGCGACCACGTTGTGTTTATCGGTGGCGGTCCACTGCCTTTTAGCGCCATCGAGTACATGCTGCAGAGCGGCGCAAAGATCACCGTTGTTGAACAGAACCCTTGGGCTGTACAACTCTCAACAGTATTGATCAAGCAGCTGGGTTTGAAGAATGCAGCGGTAGAGCACGCCTCAGGTGAGCGGCTTGACTATAAAGGTGCCACGCACTTGATCGTTGCCGCACTTGCGCGACATGACGATGCGGTCATTCGCCGGGCGATGGACACGGCTGACTTGCGCATGATTGGAGTGAGGCCGGCTGGGGTGGCATGTGTTGGGCTTCAACGTATTCTTACCATGACGGAAGATGCGGATGGACTTTGGGTTTCTGTAAGAGCGAAGACAAATCGAACCAAATCAAATGCCTTCTACTCCTGTTTCCTGCTTTTTTGTGGGTCAAAATAAAAAACCCGGGAAGTGGAAGAAAAACCAGGTATTTGTGGCAAAGGCGCGCTGGCTACTCAATCACAGGCGCGTTTGCGCTCGCTTCGTGCGCGTGGGGAGAGAAGGCGACGAAACAATCCGCGCAGGAAAGTACGGCCGTGAAGGCAACTGCATGCCCTGCAAAAGACACCGCCTGATCGCCATGTCCACGTTTATGTTAGCAGTTGCGCTCTTTCGGGCTGGCTGCGCGCCGGCACTCGATGCGCAACGCTTGCTTGCGACCATAAGCACGCAGAGCATACGCGGCCGGGCTCAGCTACCACAAGTGGGATACCAGATCCGACCAACGCAGGCGTGCGCAGAAGAGCCTGCAGCTTTTCAAGTCGAGAAAACAAAGCCAGGTTTTTGGCTCAAGCTAAATGCTGAGTTGGCTATAGTGTCTCACCAGACGCCATGGCATGCGAGAACCCCCCCCCCCCCCGCCCGCCGCGCGCCGCAAACTGCTTGTATGGGGAAGCAAGCGATTAACCGATGAAGGGGGTTCCACAAGGCTCCAGGGTTGCCAGCGTTCGCCCTACAAGGTTTTGGTTACGCGCACGTGCGCGCATGTGTTTGAAAGTTTTTTTTTGAGGAGTTGCGCGTGTGGTTGGTTTTGCGATGTAGGTTCCAGAAATTATACCCTTTTTGCTGCTTAGACGAAGCATATATACAAAATATATATGTTGCTGACACCATCCCCCTCTTATCAGGGAACCTCTTGGGACCTCTTCACAGGAAAGCATGAGAAACGCCACCACGCAGTTGCAAACCAAAGCACTGGCCACCAGTGAATTTTCAAGTCCAATTATCCAGCTCTTTGGTTTTGTAGATTTCCCTCTCAGAAGCTGGCAAACCCCAAACATATGCGTTTGAAACCCTTTTTAGCAAACCTGTTCGGCGTCCGATTTTGCGGCCCTTGGCAAACCTGTTCAACTGAATTTCGGCAACTCTGTTGGCACATGTAGGTGCGAACACGTGTGTCCAACATCGGACAAAGTAAAAACGCTGCGAACCTCAAATAAGAAACATCGAGTTGCACCTGGCGAGCCTTTCCCAGGGTCGATTTGTCGGCTACCGTAGCTGCCTTGCAAGCCAAACTCATGCATGCAAGCCTGAAACCTTGCAATATGGCATCGATCGAACCCGTCAAAGCTTCCATTTGAAACGCCAAACTAACGTATTTGTTTGCTTGGCAAACCCTGACGTTATCCCAAAAACCCTTCCCTGCGACGAGTTCACACATTGGGCCCAAAAGACCGCCATGGGGTTATCAGAAGTGTCCAATGTATGAACCCAGGAACAAAAAAGGGATGGGTAAAGCTGGGCGCACGCGTTCGCCGCTTGCCAATTTTGCCGGGCCGGGCTGCTGACTCGTGTGGCCAGTCGGGGCCCTCAGGAGAACGAGGGCTGCGAGAGTTTCCAAAAACAATCAGGGATAACCAAAGGCTTCCTATTGGTCCGCCAGCATCCCAGCCTTGACCCACGCTGATTTCGCTGAAACGAGGTATCGGGAAATGGTTCTGCTAGCAACGCACCGAATGTTGACTCTTCGGCTCAACCGCGAGGGCTTTCCTATGAAGTCCTCGTCCTGTTGGCAGCCAGCTAGGAGAGGATTTTCAGCGATGTTGGCACGCTCGCTTTGCTGATGAAGCCGCACTGCAAAGTGGTCAAGGGCATGCAGTTTTGGAACTATCGCGTAGAGTCTCCTGCCAGCAGCAAAGCTGTCCATTGCGAGGTGCCGGTACTGCGACAAAAATTCCAGCAAATCAAAACTGATGTACTGCGCAACATCCTTCTCAATGAAGGCGTCGCACTTGTAAAGCACGCGGATGGCTCGGTTCAGGTGCCTTGTTGCAGTGAGGCTTCGATCCAACAGCCCATTCGTTGTCAGGGATGAGGACCTTTCTTCTAAAAATGCTTCAAGCCACAAAAGTATGTTGGTAGTCAGGTGCCCTTTGTTCCACAAAGCAGTTGGCATGTCAGTGGTTTTCTTCCAGTTCACCTTCTCTTGCGTGATCTTCGTAAGATACGGCGCCCTTTTCGCACTCCGGCAATATTGCAAATAATTCTCCGTCAGAAGCTCAAACTTCTTGGGGATGGATGGTGCGGGAAACAACTCGCTGCATAAGACGATCACACTGGCTGAAAATGTTCGCCCAACACCCAGGTGCACTATGTGCCACAGGTCCATATGGAAAAACTGTTCTGGATGCAAAGCGTCATGAGGAAGCAATTGAATCAGCTCAGGAGGGTCAGTAGGTTTCCAAGGGAGCGTTGCACTTTCAGTGGTCGCCCAAATTGGATTCAAAACCCCAAACTGCTCAAACGGGATGTTGGGGCTTCCTGCGTCGCAATAGTGGCACAGTCCAGAAGTCTGGCCCTTCTCGGTCGGAATCTTGAGGACATTGTTGAAGGTTCGTTGCAACTTCCCATTTTTCTGGAGATAGGGCCAATCCCCTTTAACTCCTATAAAGCAAATTCTGTAGCAATTGCCAGATGGGTCGGTGACTCCAGTTTCAAGGGCGTCTTTCATGTCCTCGGCTAACCAGCGCATGCATGTGTGAAAGGCCTGCGGCGTCTTGTCATACAATGTTTTCGGCGTGACCATGAGCAAGTAGCGACTGGTCAGGGAATCCCCGGAGTAGTTGGTGCGCAGTTTGACTGAGCCATCATCATCCCGCTTGCGCTTCTGGCTGCTAAATCCAAATCCAAGGCAACTCTGAAACTGGGTGATCATAATGGGAGCCTTTTTGAGGGTGCGCCCCTCATCTCCATGACAATAGCAAGCCGCCGTTTTTGACAGATCAACGCCTGCCATGTGGAACAAGCCAAATTCAGGATGTAGCTTCTTGTAATTGGCCCAGAAGGTGGACCAGACTTCGCCACACTTGTGTTTTTCTTCGCGCCCCAATCCTGCAAGATGAGACCAGAGGCCACTCTTCAAAATGAATCGTAGCCAGTCTGTTGGTCTAATCCATGGAACTGTGTGACCACCCATCTTCGTGTTGGTCACAGACACTTGCAATGACAGCTTTTGAGAATGGATTACTTTGGCGACACCACTTTCAGAATGTTTCTCTGATAGATCAGCCCATTGCTGCACACCCGAAGAAACAGCTTTTGCAGCGCCAAGTTCACTGGCTACGGCTCTGGCTGTTCGGATCTGGCTCGCGCAGCTCGCCTGGGCGCCCAAAAAAAAGCGAACGTTGCATTGTTGTGCAAAAAGTTCACCCTTGAAGCCCTGGTGTCCCCTGGTTTCTCGGCGGCTCTGTCTAAGACCCACTTATTTGCAACACATGAGCTTGACACCACATCCAAGAAGGCTACACGTGTTGGATTTGCACCCACGGCTTTGAGGCAACGGCGCCTTCGCCCACGTTGCGCGCCAACGCCTTGGACGAAGGACCCGGGCCTGGCCGCGTTGGTTTGAAGGCCAGCTTTGGGGACCAGCGCAACTGCGCAAGCAAGGGTCACATTCGGGCTTCCGTTTTTTCTGCGCAGTGATCACTGATGGTCTATGAAAATACACCCCGCACCTGCTCGAAGGCTGGCCCAGCTTGGAAACATGTGATTGAAAAACCCCGTGCCTGACATTCGGTTTTCCGACTCCATCCCCAGAAGGGTTGCAAGGACCAGCCTTTCCCCGGCAATGCAACGCATTGCCCTGAAACCCCAGCTGCATGGTGCAGGGAAAACATCGGCAGTGTCAAAAAGCTCACTCATCTTTTTTGGACGGCTTATTCTTTTGGAAGTGCCTTTTCGCATTCCTTACAAAGCACAATTGGGGGAAACATGCGTGATGAGCTGCAAGTGCTCTCGTGCTTGGTAGCTGAGCAGTTGTCCGGACCCGGGTCTCGCCTGCCACCGCTTGCGAACACCTAAAGCATGACGGGAAGACCAGACTTAACGGCCCCAAAAGCCAACACAATAGTTTAATCCGAGACGCTTCAAGGACACCGACGACATCAGCTTGCTCATCTCGGTGCGCCACCTGGGCGTTGGACAGAACGGGGTGAATGCGTTTGAGGGTTCAACGACACGATTGCGGGAACCCTGCCCAATTGGGACTACTTGCAACCGGGGTTCTCCTGGTCAAAGCCCCCTTCAACGCCACGGGCCAGAAGCTCGCAGCAGATAGTGTGCTGCTCATCCATCATGGCCGCATCTTTTTCCAAAGTGGCAGCCGACCTGATTTGACGAAACACAGCAGCTGTTCAGATTTAGGGGGCCGGTTAGTTGCTAATGAGCGACTTCGCAGCCATCTCATCATCATAGTTTCGCTTCAAATCGGCAACCAGGGCTCGAATCTTTGCTGACTTGGCCAGAATGCTGTCGATAAACTTCTGGAAGTTTGTTTTTTGCTGCTGGGCCTTGACACATGCTGTCTTCCAAGACAAACAGTAGTTTGTGTAGTTTGTGTGTGTGTGTTTGTTTGACAATAGAGCCTTGCCTCCGAAGTTGCTGTAGCCGGGGCAGAAGCGGAAGCCTCGATCCGGGTCCGGTATTTTGCCAGAGCACCAAAGTCAGCAGTCGGGAGATCAGCCCCATCATCCTGCGACCAGTAATGTTTTTCTGTGTTTGGTTTTTGCCGCCATAGTCAAAAAAGTTTTGCCTTTGGGCAACCTCCTCAAACATGAAAAGCTAATAAGACCATTTGGACGAGCGACCGCTTTGGGGTAACTTTGGGCTCATTGACTAGCGCTTGAGGCCGTCCTGCGAGGTGGTTTTGCGCATCTCCACAATCTTTTCTTCTTGCGTTCGGCTGCCCGTCTCCCTAGTGCTGACCCAATACTCGGGCTCGCCGCCGTATCGCGAAGCCCTGCGACAACAA